CTCAACCAAAGTGAAGAATACACTCATAGAACTTCAAAATCAACAAGATAATGTCATTTGTTTTTTTTTTGGTTTTTACAGCTATGCTGAGCATACATTCACAATTTCAGTCCCATTACCAAACTTTTCTTAATATGTCAAGGTTTTTGGACTGAAACATTGGTTACATGCAAATGCACGTCTCCTTAAAATAAATTGGATCTTTTGTTTACTTTGAAGCCCTACGAGCATGAGGACGTCCAGTTGCAACTTTTTTTTATACTGTACTTTTCTAAATAAACCTACGTTTCTATGAAAACTTACGTTTTGGTTTTCTTGTGGCCCACATAAATTGAAACCTGGCCCGTGTTAGCCTTTGAGTTTGACATGCTTGCCCTACACACTTATTAACCCTTAATAAGGAACACATGGGTTGGGCGGCAGCATTGTAACATAGCTGTGTGATACAAAGCAAGTACAAATATACAAAAATAAGTCCTGCGCTTAAACTCCCACTACTCCTGGGCGGCAGCAATGACTATAATACACATCAGCCCTAATAGATACAATAACAATCATAGAAAAAAAAATTACTTGCGCACTATCCAAAATCCCAATGCATATTTAAATAATTGGAGGTTTTTAGCGACACTCCAATGGCCATTCACATTTAAGCTCATCTGCCACATCAAGTAACTGTTTTTTTCTTTGGTTCTTAGTATATTAGAACCTAAATCTTGCTGTACGCCTGTAGTTACACCTTACATTTTAATATCTCCACGAAATAACAGCCCTTTACCAATGATGCATCCCTGTATAGAACCAACACATTTGAGGCTAGTAATGCATGCACAAAGAATAATAACTGATATATTCTTCTACTCAATGAACTGGATGCCTATCACTTACTTGGTTATCTCCTTGAAATGTAAGATCTGTACTATCACACAACACACCCTTGTGCTATCTTCTTTCTCTGTGTTTCACAACTAATGCTGTGTCTAATTTTCCATTCGCAGAAATAAAAAAAAGATTTTCAGCACTTAATTTTATTGGTGTTTAACCTTGTGACTGAGAAACAACACGAGAGGGCAACACACACACACACACGGCAATTATCCTGTATTAGAGAAAGCTTTACTGGAATACCTTGGCGTCCTGGACGTTTGGACCTTAATGCTGTACTTTGCAAACCTTTCCTTGCTATAGCTATAACTTGAGTATGTTTGCTCCACTTTTTCCTTCACCGATTGCCATATTTTGCAAACAATTAAATTCAGCATGAGACAAAGTAGTCCCAAGTTCAGGGCATGTCTTCCAATATTCTGTTGGAATATACAAAGCTAGTCATTGTCAGGGTTATTAGTTAATGGCCAAATAGGCCCAAACAGAAAATGGGGAAAAAACATTCTGCTACATATGGGGCTATTTGGACTGCAAAATCAGGAGATTGTTGACGGAATTAATTCATTTCCAGCTTTAATTTTGCCCAGATGGTAGCTGGGCCAAACTCCATCAGACAGCTGAAAAATCTGGAGCGAATGCGTTAAATCCTGGCTTGAGGGCTCCTGGACAGCTCACTAAGAATGCAGCTTCAAAATGGATGCTGTCCAGGAGGTGGGAGGGTCTGCTGCTGATTGGCTGGAATGTGTCTGCTGACTGGAGTCCGCGGCGAACCGTTCGGGACATCACTAGTGACATGTCATGATTCCCTTTTATTCCAGAAGTTTGGTCCTTAAGGGGTTAAAATGTTTTTTTGCAATCACGCTTATTTGTGTTAAATAGGTTTTTTTATTTCGTATGCAAAACAATAGCAGACATATAATGGTTTTAAAAAATTAACACTCTAGTGCCTGCGCAGAGGCATAGTACGTCAAACAAAGGTAAGGCAAATTACATATTTCTCATCAGTTCTGACATGGACAATGGTAAGCAATTCGCAGCATTTGGGAATGCAATCTGCGTATGTATGCAGCAAGGGTTTGAGCTATCTACTGATATGGTACGTGGAGCAAGGAACACAAAATCATAATACACGGTTGTATTAAGCATATGGCAAAGGTGATATAGCGGTCAGATAGCATGAGGCAGCTCAGTAAATCTTTGATGGGTGCAGTATAACAGCGCCTGATTAGGCCGAAACAGATAAGTCCGCTTCATTCTTGCTAAGTTTAGAAAAGGCATTTTACGGTGCTGCTTGTTTAAGTTATGCCCATCTAGGTAAGCGGTAAAGCTTGCAGCAGAATTAATCGTATGTGCAAATGAGAAACTTCGTTATTCCATGGTAAACTAATATGTCAAAAAGTAAATAAGTTACTGCAATGTAAAAAATAGCCTCTGGAGGCAACAGCGTGTTGATAACTTATAAACTAAATAAGGTCAACCATAGGAGCTGCATTCATGTTATTAGGCATATGTCATAAGGTAAGATGCCAGTAGCTTAAACAAACGAAATGAGCATAACTGTGATGATGCTCCAAACTTGAGACACGTCCACAGGTGAAAGCCTCCCATGTCACAGGTGGGCCATAATATTGTTGCTGTTATCAAGGCTGATAGGCCTATCTCCAAGTTAAACCCCACAGGTTAGGTGGCTTATCGGCTTGTATAGGTCCAACTTTAGTGAGCATAAGCATAATATACCTCACTGAGATATCCTAGGTATTGTTGTGCTTCAGGTAATGCCATGTGGCTATATTATGAGTCAATAAAGTAAAGAGAAAAAAAAAATAAATAAAATAAAAATATAACCCCTACAACAGATCCCCTCACAGCTACTTGTAGCCATGGCTGGGGGGGGGTTGCAAAAACTGCGTGAAGACCCGAACTCTGGCTCCCGGGAGTTAACGTCCGGCATCCCTCCGGGCTTTGCAATGACAAGTATTGCCAGACATTTTTTTTTTTTTTTTAATTCTTTATTTTATTTGTGCATGAAGTAACAACAAGCGTGCAGAGCCACAACAGCCGCTGCAAGCAGATTCATAGAATTCCAAAGTGTGGCAGGTTAAACGGCACATTTTTTTTTTTTCCTCCTGAAAAAAAAACAGGCTATAAGACATTCGTGGTTAGCAATAAACATGCTATGCTAAATTTGTATACAACAGAACTGTTCTCGCTTAATGGTTTGAATAGAGCAGGATTGGTTAGTACTAGCACCTTTTTATATTATAGGTTAAGCGAGGATTTAGGTAAATTGAATAGTCAACTTGGTGCGGTTAAAACAGGCATATACGATTCAAGAGCATGTTAAGGGTTAAACGGGCTTACTCTTACTGCAGGTTTGGCAAGTCATATTGTATAGCTTTATAATGCAGTGGTTCTGCGCACTTATGTTTGCATGCTATAGTGGGGTGATTCTGGCAGCGCTGCATGCGAACGTGTTTGGGTGTGTGTGTACCACTGTGCAGATTCCTGCTTGGAGAGTGTGCTCTGGAACATGAGTGTAATAACTCCTAACCAGGGGAGCTGCGGGGGGGGGGGGATATTTTCATGGTCACGCCATAGACTATGAGTGTATATGTGGGAATGCTGCCGTGCCCTGTCGGTTTGAGGTGGGTTGTGTAGGGCCCTTTGTGCCATTAGTTGCGAACTATCTACAAATTCAAACATGGTGGACATTCCCTCATAGACAACATATAAGCAAAATCAATAAGTATGCAACAGGGCAGGCAATAAACTTTTGATATTAGTTGGGTTTGCGAGGATTGTAATGTGTCCTTGTTCTGCTTCCCCTGGAGGGGCTAAGTGTCCAGCGTCAAACCGGTTCCCAGAGGCTGTTGCCGTTCCGTGGTCTTGGAGCTCCCGGCCCTTGGAACAAAGGGGGTGATGTGTTCTGGGTCCCAGCTAGCAGTGGTTGGCCTCCCATGTGGGGTAGCAGCGATCGGGATGTCCAGTCCCAGTGCCTTCAAAAATTCGGGTGCACCTTCCATTGAGGTGAGTGTGTGGTGAGTTCCGTTCCGGTGCACCATTACGGAGCCGTTGGGCCCCCATCTGTATTCGATGCCCACTGACCTCAGGCCACCGGTGAGAGAAGAGAAGGTTTTCCTCCAGGTGAGGGTGGCTTTTGTTAGGTCCTGGAAAAAGTACAGTGTAGTTCCTTCAAAATCCAGTGGTGTTTTCCCTTTAAGGGCCGTCATGAGCTGTATTTTGTCTTGTATTGTTGGACATCTGAGTATCACATCTCGGGCTGTGTTTTTCGGTGCCCTGGCGGAAGAGGGCAAGCGATAAATCTCTGCTGTGGCTAGTTTTTTGGCTGCAACTGGAGGCAAGATTGTGGCTATGAGGCGCCTGGAGTAGTGTGGCAGTTCGTTTGGTGTGACTTCCGCAGGGATGCCCCTTATCTTTATATTAGTGCGTCTTTGTTTTTCTTCCAGAGCAGTGAGCTGTGCAGTTAAGGCTTTATGTTGTGTGTGTACCTGCTGCACAGATTCTTGTAGGTTGGATAGATGTTCCTGCAGGCTTGTGATGTCTTTTTCGGTTGCCTGCACCCTGCTGGTGATTGCTTTGATGTCTTTTTTGATGGGAGCAAGTTCCGTCGCTAGAATTGTGTGAAAATCTGTCAGCAGGGTTTTTAGATCCTGTCTGGTGATTGGGGCTGTGTCGGCTGTATCATCCCCCTGTTTTGGGCTCTCTACCTGGGTGCCCTTGGAGGCCGCCATTTCTGGGTGGTGAGTGTGGGCTGCGGGGCTCGGGGGTTCGGCAGGGGCGGTTTTGGCCTGCATAGGCCTCTGAAGCATGGCCCCGATATCCCTGCTGTCTGCTGTGTGTTGCGGTCGTTAGGAGCGGCGGCCCATAGCTGGCATGTGTGCCGGTGTATCGGTCGTCTTGGGGGTCGCCCAGTCCCACACTTGCCTTGCCACCGTGCCGCTCAGGATCGCCTCCAGGCCTGTGTGTGTCAGCGTGGGGTAGGCCCCGATTCTCTTTCTCCGCTTGGGTTGATGGGCGGCCGCAAAGAACGGCATCTACCGTGTCAGGAGGGGTTGGAGGATCGGTGTGTCCACTCTCTGTGGCTGGATGGTCCAGTTGTGGCGTGATTTTCCCCGGATTTAGCGAGGTTTGTGGAGGAGCCCATAAGAATGGCGTCTCTCCAGGTTGATGGTCAGGCTCCGCCCCCCATTGCCAGACATTTTAAAATGTTGAAAAAAAAAAAAGAAAAAAAAGAAGTGTTTCTCCTATGCTATCTCTTGCCAGTTAACCCCCCCTATCTCCCCCTGCGGTGCCGTGTTAGAACAGTGCACATGAGTTGTGCTAAAATAATATGGTTATCATTATATATGCAGCAGAGCTGATAAGGGAGTGTCTGATGTTATTATAGGATCCTACCCACTATATTCCCAACTGTACCCTAAAGGCGCAGACCCGCACCAGGCAATGTCTCCCGCCTGGGATCTCCTCTGCACAGCGGGCACTCGAGGGACCCGCTAGTCCATTAGACCCCCCCCTCGTAGAGTCCATAGACCAGCTGCCGTCTGCACCCCCACTGTGCCTTCAAAGTCCCGACAGGGCAGATACGGCGTCTCCACTTGCCCCCTGCATCACCGGCCACCTCTCTGATGCATTGGTCACTCGGTCCTGCGGCCACCGGTCCATCACAGGCCCTCACAGTCCAGCACAGCCAGGATCGCAGCAATGGGGAGCAACTTTCTCCGGGCTCCTCTGAAACCCAGAGATAGAGGCCCCAGCTATTCGACGTGGAGCAGCCCAGTTCAGGATTCTCAGCGGCTTGTCCGCAATCCCCTCGGGCAACCAGGAAACACCGGGGCAGATCTCCATGAATGCTTGTTTGGTACTCCTTCGTCTATGCTCAGTTTATGGTCAGTCTGGGACTGCAACTGCCCAGTAGTCGCTGTGGATGACAACGGTGAATCTCGATGGCCAGGTGGTTGATGTAAGCGGGTTTGTGAGTCCACACTAAGGTTAATGTCCACCATGCTTGTGGGGCCCATGTCAGGCAGCAAGCAACCTTGGATCAGTATAATCCCCATTCTCACAATCCTCGTTGCTGATCAGTCCCTGATTTCAGGAGGCTGTAACATCCCTTCAATGTGCAGGCTTAGTGTAGGTAGTGTGTGAGCAGCTCAGGTATGTAGGCCGCGGCATACAGGCTCACTGATCGGAGTAGGCCGCAACTGGCAGCACTGCTGCAATCCTGGCAGTATCATCTCACGGTTTGCTTCGCCTGGTTGCTAGGGCTTTCCCCTCCTTTTATTTATGCAGCTTGAAGGCATGGAAGCATTTTTTTTTTTCAACTTAATTTCAAGTTTAGGGCTGGAGCTGTGCAAGATGTCTTCTGGTCAGCGCGACGTCCTGGCCCCGCCTCCCGCAATCAGGCTTATTTGTATTCTAATTCAAGGTGTCTGGAATTATGGATTTTTATTTGGGCTTTTTTGGGGCTGAGGACAGAAGAATTAGAAGATAAAAGACTTCTGATGGTAAGTATCTTTTTATTTTCAGGTTTAAGATTTCTTTCTCTTTCTCCTCAGGGGGGTAGGTGGATACATTATTTTGGGGTGTGTGCCTGTCCACCCCACCAATTGTATAATTAATTAGGGCAATTATAATTATTTTATTTTCATGCGGCTGGTGGGGGTTCTAACATGTACAAAAGAGGGGGTGGGGGCTCTTATCCACTTTTCCAATTCCACCCATGCCAGCTAGTAGGGACCAGGGAAGGGGACAATCGGTCCTCCCTTATTGTTAATATTAGGGCCCACTCCCACTAGCATGGGTGGGGACTGAGTGAGGGAAAACTTCAACCCCCACATTTTATAACCATTAGGGCCCCAACGTACCAGCATGGGGAGTCTGATGTGTCCCCTCCATCTGGGTTGGGGCGCCGCTCATTGACTAGAGCGGTCTGCTGAATCTCTAACCAATCAGCTGCCCAGCGGCACTCTGCGCTGCCTGTAACATAGCTTCAGAAACCAGAGGCTGCCTGGGGGAACTTGAGATCGCCGCTGGATGCAGGCTATGGGTTTAAACTCTTCAAGAATGGTTTAACCCTCTTTTACTATCACTTTCTTCTTAACAGCATTGGTTTTTGTTTTTTTAGGTGGATAATCCTAGTCACCTCATTTATGTCTCCCCTCCTTTCCTCCAGATGCAGATTCCGGTTATTTGCCATCTGGGTTACATTTCAGCCTAGTTGAGATGAGCATGTTTGTATTTACTTATAAAAGGCTTATAATGTCTACGACACACTTTGCCACTAGATGGCAGCATGGGGGTAATGTTGCCCTTTGTCTTACATAGGTCACAGACGGAGCTGTTCACTAAACCATGAAACTTTGTGAAATTGCAATAAGGCCAACATTATTGCAGTGACAATATAGCTGAGTTGCAGAATTTCTTCCAGTTTTGTTATTTGGGGCTAAAATGTGCAGTTCCCTGGTTAATGCCCAACAACTCTTGGTTCATCAAATAACGCTGAGGGGCCCTGCATCTGCAGAATTTGCTGGACAAACCCCAGTGTAGAAACCCCCCCCTTTCTAGAATTGCAGTGGATTATAATGCTGACCTTTACTAAAGATAATTTTATTAAACGTGTTCTTTGTGAAGAACTTTTGTAGGAGAATGTGTTACGGTTACAGAATTTCACATTGCTGACTTAACAATATCTTGTGTAACAAATTCTTATCTTCCAAGCATACCGGATAAGGAAATGCTATATCACTCCATTCAAACAGGCTCTGATAAAGTTCTGATAGTTCAATGTTTGACACATAGCTTATCACTGCATCCAATGCAGCCTGGTCCGAATTAAGCATACGGACGTGATTGTTATTATATTATTTATATAGCGCCAACAGATTCCATAGCGCTGTACAATGGGTATGAGCGGAGTGGAACTATTTTAATAGTCACAGCTTAACAACTAACCATGTGTCAAAGAAATTTACTCAGTGTTTTACATTTCAGAAACTGGAAATCGCGTTGCCACCTTTGCAAAAAAACATGTCATGTACTAATCAATCGTCCCATCGTTTACACCAGTTATCTTTGACTTAGTCTCTTTACTGTTTACTGTTTTTCACCGGAAACTTATTCCAGGTAACTTCACCCTAGATCTTTGTATTATTATTATTATTGCCATTTAGATAGCGCCAACAGATTTTAATACATTTTCCAAACAGAATGAACTAAAATATTTGCTAATATGGTTTCATTGTCCTTCCAGGGTCTTAAACGTATTTGTTTGTGTTAAAGATTTCTTATTTTATTGTACTTTTCGAAGATTGACAACATTTTTATTTTTTGATAGTTTTCATAGTTCACTGGTGGCGGTTTAGGTAATTTGCCCCCACCAGCAGGGAGAAACAAAATGTAAATTTTATTTACCTAATCTCCCTTAAAGCCCCACAGCCGGTCCTGCGTTCTTCGCTTAGTACATCGAGACTGATGATCTTCAGCATTAAGACAGTGGTTGAAGTGATGTGGTCTTGGGGCCTATAGTGTCCCTTTAATACCCCCTTGCTGGGGACTGACTGTACTCCTTTGGTGGAGGCCATGTCACTATTAATTTAATGACTTCCTGTTCACCTTTTATTATTATTATTATATTATGTATATAGCGCCATCAGTTTTACTTTGTCAAATGAAACTTAGTTAATATAGCACAACTTCCCTTCTACATCAGAACTGTTGATAATTTTGTAAAGAAACACATTTCTCTAGCATAGTTCCATTCTGCACCCTTAGATGTCTGCAGAGGTTCCCAACCTTTTTTGACCAAGGCACACTTTATGTTTTTACTTTTCACATTCATCAACGGCTTCTAAATTTCACATTCACTTGTAGCTTAAAAAGAGAGCTATGCATATTTTAGGGACATTACTTTTTAATCAATTGCCAAATCGGAACACCTAATTTTAATGACACTAATCAAAAAAATGCATGTGTAGAACTGCATTCAAATGATTAAAACCCTGAAATCAATGTGTTCCACATTAAGGTGGATTGAGGCACACCGGTCGGTATGTCATAGAATACACATTATTTTTATAGCATTGTAGCAGTGTTTGGAAATTTCTAACGTTAGCCCCTGAGGACAGCGTGGTTTCACAACCGAAACGCGCGTCGGGTTTTCTCTTTAATCTCCTTTATGGAGCACTTCAGAACTATGCACTAACTCAACTTTTTGTTCATTTGTTTATTTATTTTCCTTGTTTTTTGCTGAGGTAGACTATAGGGACTATACCTTAGATGATGTATTAGCATATAACACCCACAAAGGTGTTTTTTCAGGAGATCTAGGGTCTAGTGGGTAGGGATCCCATACTTATTAGGAGTACCCCTCCTCCAGAGTTTAGAGAGGTTTTTTACTTTGACTGTTGGATGTTTTGTTGTCAGCATTCCATTTATGTTCATCTACTGTCCTGCTATGAGTGGTTATCATATTTACCCACTATTTATTTAGGCAAGTAGTTTTCATTATAACTTTTTGATCTGCACTATTCTGCCTGTCCTTATGTCTTGGGTCCCTTTTTTGTCTCTTTACTTTCACAGTTGCTCCTTGACTATACAGTTCACTGTTTAGTGAACCCCTAGTTCACTACTTTTCCTGTCATTAGATTCCAGCTACCATTATTAGTCTTTGTTTAGCTATATCTATGTTTGTCATCTAATAGTCATGGATAGAATCTAGGTTGGTTTATGTAGCAACTGATTTATGCTCTTTAGTCCCATCCGCTACCTTTGTATCCACTTCCTTTCGATAATTTTTTTTCCTGTTTTGGTTACATTGTGTACTAACATACCTGTAGGCGTATAGTACCTCTCCTATTTTTGCTTTTTTCATTAGGAAATAGCTTGTGTATGTCTTACATTTTAAGAGATATTTTAAAAGTTATGTCCCTAGCACCTCAATTCTCTAAACCTGTTTTGTCTAACCTCCCTGTACAGTCCGAACCCGAACCTATGCAGTTGGGGGTCACTAGACTGTCAGAGGCCGAAAAACAGTATAGGAGAAGGGAGGGGTTATGCCTATATTGCGGTAGAAAGGGACATATGATAACTAATTGTCCAGTGCGTCCGGAAAACTTCCGCACCTAAGAACCTTAAGGGGACAGATCTTAGGTGTGATGGAGTTGTCCTCTAACAAAAACAAAAGTAGATTCCTCCTTGAGGTATCTATTTCCTTTGATAACAAGAAGTTTTCTTGCAGTGCCCTAATGGACTCAGGTGCTGCTGGAAATTTTATTGATGTCCAGTTTATTAGGGGTAAAGAGTGTATGGGGAGATGTATAAAACCAGTACTAAAGAGATTGGATACTATTGACCTTCCCACTACCACTCCCCAAACTCCTGGAGTTCCCATACAATACCGAGAACTTCAGGAGGTGTTAAACAAGGCTCAATCCGATGTATTGCCTCCCCACAGAGCATATGACTGTGCCATTAACCTGTTTCCAGGCGCTATGCCACCTAAGGGGGCAGTTTATGCCTTATCTCCCCAGGAGAGTAAAATAATGGAGGAATACATCAAAGAATCCTTGAGCAAAGGGCACATAAGAAAGTCATCCTCACCAGCTGGTGCAGGATTCTTTTTTGTTGAGAAAAAGGGTGGTGAGTTACGCCCTTGCATAGACTACAGGGCACTTAATAAAATCACTGTAAAAAATGCATACCCTATTCCACTCATTTCCGAATTGTTCGATAGACTTCAGGGAGCTAAAGTATTTACTAAGCTTGACCTTAGGAGCACTTACAATTTGGTTAGAATTAAAGAGAATCATGAGTGGAAGACGGCATTTAATACCCGTAGTGGACACTATGAATATCTGGTAATGCCATTTGGGTTATGCAACGCCCCGGCCGTATTCCAAGACTTTATAAATGATGTACTCAGGGAATTCATTTACTCATTTGTCTTGGTTTATTTGGACGATATTTTGGTGTATTCCCCTGATCTTCAAACTCACCACTCCCATGTGAAACAGGTTCTGCAGACGTTGTTGAAAAATAAACTTTATTGTAAATTAGAAAAGTGCATATTTGACCAGCCTGAAGTCCACTTTTTGGGTTACAACATCTCTGCATCGGGATTTCAAATGGATCCTAAAAAACTAGAGGCTGTACTACACTGGCCATTACCCTCTGGTTTAAAAGCCATTCAAAGGTTTATTGGTTTTGCCAACTATTACAGAAGATTCATCAAGGGATTTTCTTCTGTAATAGCCCCAATCACAAATATGACTCGCAAAGGGGTTAGTAGCACGGTATGGTCCAAAGAGGCTGTGAATACTTTTGAGACTCTTAAACAAAGATTTGCCTCTGCGGACATACTAAAACATCCTGACACCAGTAAACCTTTTATATTGGAGGTTGATGCATCCGAGACAGGGGTAGGGGCTGTTCTCTCTCAGAGAGAAAGCCAGGGAACACCATTGCATCCTTGTGGCTACTTCTCCAGAAAGATGTCTCCTGCTGAGCGCAACTATGATATTGGCAATAGAGAACTATTGGCCATTATTCTTGCCCTCAAGGAGTGGCGACATCTTTTGGAGGGTTCCAAGGACCCCCTGTTGATCATAACCGACCACAAAAATCTGGCATATATAGGGGATGCCAAACGTTTGTCTTCCAGACAGGCTAGATGGTCACTGTTCCTTTCACGTTTTAACTTTCTCATTACTTATAGACCTGGTTCTAAAAATACCAAGGCTGATGCCTTGTCCAGGCAATTTGATAATGAGTCAGCTCCGGAACAGATGACATCTCCTATTATTCCAG